TCCAAATTCGTCTGGTACCGTGTAAACGGGGTCTTAAATTCCCAAGAGCAGAATTGTATTGGCAAAGCATACACGTGCACATCTCATGACCAATTGTCTTTCAGTCAATCGAAATATATCTTTAATGGCATCTGATACACTTTATTGTATTTGTGGGGTTGATGTGCTCCCAAAGGTCACCTTCATGCCCATGCATAGACTCATTCAATGTAAATATAACCAGTCGAGTTATAGGAACTGTCCAAGGGGCCCTTACCCCTTGGTTCAGTTTAAGGTCAGAGGGGGGGGGGGTCGTTACCCTTCTGGCATGCGCTCTGGAGACCCTTACCCCCAGGACAGCCCAAGGGACCATTACCTCTAGGGTTATCAGAACGGGCCTTATATATAACCAGCAGGATGAAATATAAGGCCATAAAGAGTCTATTGGGTTATATATACTTATAATATGACACTTATTGTAACGGGAGTACTTCACCCCCATAACCCATTCTCCCACACAATGACACAAAAGCTGTCTGTGTCTACTCTCAATTCTTAGCTGGCTAGACAGCAATTGTTCCATTAACACCGTGTTAAAACTATTTACGCAACTAGCCCGAATGATTTGGGGGTCTGATTGTATTTTCGGCGAAGAGCTTTAGTATAGATGGCGGAGGGCTTTAGACGATATCTTAATGGGGGATATATGAAATGGTCCAACATCGCCTATTTGAAACTATTTCTTTTATATATGTAGTAAAGTGATTATTCGCAATGTGTTTTCTTTGTGGCACGGCAATTTATGTCAGTAACACTTTTACGATTTGGCGGGTTTTCTAAAGTAAAGGTATAATTCTACTGACATGAATACATTCAGGCATGCGGGTTTCTGGCAATCAGAAATTCAGTTTATTTACAAGTCTAATATGTATATCAGGAAGTATTGTAAAATTTAACCATTGCAAATAATTGGATAGTCTAAACGGTCATGTGACACGTGGACACATGCTGTTAAACTATCAAACTAATTTTAAGTGTTTGGACTTTCAAAGTCATTCACGAGATAAATTACTGCTGTGATTGGATGCTTTGTTCTATAATTTCTATATGTCTATGTTCTAGTTATATTTCACAATTCTCTTCTACACTATATGCCATATGTTTACTATTTTCGTAGTGTATGGTTACTATGGTTGAAAAGTAGATGGATTGTGCCCATAACACAAATATTACGTTCCTTTTTGCATCTACTGATTTTTAATCAGTAGAAGCATTGCCAGGATCAAAATACGTGGATGTCGGGAACGGTCGCAAATTTGCCGGATGACGTATTAATGTAATTAGCAAGCGAAAGTCGCTTATCTACGGTTAGTTCATAAATGTTGTCCATAAATGGTTTTGTCAATAACACGAGAACAATAAAATTGTTTTGTCAATAACACGAGTACAATATATACGAAGAATCAATGCCGTATAACTGTTCTTTGCTGTAAAATAGAATTCAGTTCTATTCAGTAAAATTTGGGTGAAGCCTTTTTCCGACTTTAAAGAAGATACCAAGACGGTTGTGAGTTTTGACTTTGAGAAGGCTGTGAGAGGACAAACTTATTCGAATTAGCTGTATATCTCCTTGGGTTTTTCCCCTCTATGGGCAATCAATAATAAGCAGACATATTCCGCCATTCTCTTCTTTCCTGTGGTTACTATGGTTCCATATATTCCCATACTATAGGGTAAATACCTTTAACATTATACCTTGATTATAATTTTGCTCTTTTGAATGTCGGTACTTGTGATGTAGCCTCCAACATGGCAGCCGTGACGTCACATCAAACTCTCTCTGCAAACTACTGATCTAAAACTAGGACTGGATAGTGCATCCGTCATGCACATAGATATGAGATATCTATGGTCATGCATAAGTGAAGCCAATGGCAGCCATATTGGCGTGACCACCACAAGTCTAGTGTGGTGTTGCTGACATTTTACAAGAGGCTCTAACGTCCGTATTCTGAAAGCTCACTCGCACTCAATGAGTGGAGGTTCAATCTAAGCTTCTCTTGAGTGTCATTGCTGTTTTTGAATAGCTGGAGGGTGAGCAGTCACATAGTAAGGTATGGCACTACCCCTCCAGCTATTCAAAAACAGCATTGACGCTCAAGAGAAGCTCAGATTGAACTTCCACTCATTGAGTGTGAGTGAGCTTTTAGAATACGGGCGTAACAGTTTCTCGTTATTGTTGAGGAAAGGACACGTGAATAACTAATGAGGTCGCACCAATTTTACCCCCACGAGTGTTATCAGAACAAACAACAGGTGCGGGAAGCTATTTATTTCAAGCGACACAGGTCAAAGACATTTGCTTCATAGTTAAACACTATATAAAGCAGGAGTGCTTTATCAGATATAAAACACGAGGCGACAGCCGAGAGTCTGTTTAGCATTGTGATTGGATGAAAGTGCTCATGCATCACTCGCAGCGAGCTGCGAGGAGCTTCGTGCGAGGACTGGAAATCCGCCTTAAGCTGAGAAAATCAAAGCTAAAGTTTATGTAAATTAGCATGATTTTTTATCTCACACATAAAACCACCGACACGGTAGTGATTTCCTTTCTTTTTTCCTCATGAATTATGAATGCTTTTTCAAGCTAGTTTAAACACCTAACAATTCGATATGGGAAAAATTTGACATATTTAAAACCTGTTCTCATTATAAATATTTATTAATTAGACTTCAAAATTGGAAGTTGGGAAGTCCAGCTGTTCAGTCCAGATGGTCTGTAAACACTTGTGCAGTTGTATGTTTGGGCATAAACCATGCATAACCATGCCAGACACACAAATATAAGAAGAATCAAAAATCTCACAAGCATTTTAACTAAAATCTGACGGAAACGGCCAAACAGCAGTTAAATAAAAAACTTTGCAAATCGGACACTTTTATACATACGATCAACTGAATCTTCTGGAAATTCGATTGACCAAGCAGAACAAGCGCAATGGACCTTTTTCCTAATGAACAAAATTTTGATCTAGACAAGTCTAACAAAAATTTTATCACGGCTTGAAAGAGCATCACAAAATTAGTAATATTCCACGTTTCGTTGCGAAATGTTGTAAAATGCGGATAATATAGCCCTGCGAAGTTTGCCGTTTTTCAGTCCTTTTGTATTACGCACGGAAAATTGATACCTTTTTTCAGAAAGCGGTATCAATTTCCCGTGCGTAATACAAAATGACTGAAAAACGGCAAACTTCGCTGGGCTATATTATCCGCATTTTACAACATTTTGCAACGAAACTTCGGAATATTACTAATTTTGTGATGCTCTTTCAAGCCGTGATAAAATTTTTGTCTAGACTTGCCTATATCAAAATTTTGTTCATTAGAGAATACTGGTCCATTTGAAGCCCATTTGAAGAGCCCTTGCGTGCAATTCCTAGTATTCAATGAAACAGGAACAACAATTATCTTAAAAACGCAATTAATTTTTTTTTCGATGTCGGCCTATTTGAGATCAACAAATATTTCTTGAAGTGGCCATCTCAAAATAGAACAACAATAGGGCTTTGTATACTTTAATTATATCGGTCTTCAAGGGAATATGTGAGATGCTGCCATGACAAAAATATACTTGTACGTGTCTGTGTCTACATGTACATGTGCGTATGGGGGAGGTTACCGAGCTGGGGAGGGGGGGGGGAGTCAGTGTTTAGTTGGGTAGATTCTATTTTAAAAATCGTGCAGATTTTTTCTCAATGATTTTCCTCGTACATTTCAATCTGTAATGAATTTCATATGAGTGCTAATTATCTCAATAAATACGCATTAAATCATAGAGAAAATCAAACAATGACTTTTTATTCATTAAGTTATTTGACAAGTAACATTTATATATGGATGTGAACTTTTCCATGCGTACACACTTGAGGCCGTTTTCATTAGGCGGAATTTTCCGCGCGGAGCGGAAATTCTCTTTGTCTTTTCTAATTAGTTCCACCCGAAAAATCACATGACAAAGAAAAATTCCGCTCCGCGCGGAAAATTCCGCCTAATGAAACGGCCTTTAACTGGAAAGTAGTCTTAAGCCTGGTTCACATATGTCTGCGATATGCCTGCGACGTCATTGTTTACAGCTGTTGATGCATACATTCTTTTGTGAATTATTTGGTTGAACTGCTAAAGACAATAGCCCGCCGACACATCACAGACATATGTGAACCAGACTTAAAAGGCAATTTTCAATTGCAGTCGCTTTGCCCGCGCGGGGGGAGTCGGCTTTGAAAATATGCTCACGTGGGCATGACGGGTGTCAAAAACAATGAACGCTTCGCCCGCACGGGCAAAGCGAACTTTAATGGAAAACGCCTTAAGAAAGTGCTTGAAATTAACATACGTGCAATGATTATTGATTATGTAATGTTTACAACTAAGAAATATGAAAGTAAAGAAAGGTCCTCGCATGTTTGTATTTTAAGAAACAAACGAGAAATGTCAAATGTTCAAATGTCATATATTTCAAAAAGGATCATCAACATCGCAAAACATACCACCACGAACTTTGTAGCAACAACAACACGAGCTGAGGATGTCGGTGCTTTAGCAGTAGATGTAGCAGTAGCAGAAATAGTTGTAGAACGCTGAGTGGTAGGAAGGTGAGTGGTGGGAGGTTGAGTTGTAGGCATTTGATTTGTTCCCTCCGTACAGTTCAAGGGATTACATTCGTTGCCTTCAATCCGGAACGAAGCCGAGTTGGTGTCGGAAGTTACCGAGACATAGATTTGTCGTGTGAGCTGGTCGTCGGCTGACCGTTTCACCTTTGTATTTGGTACAGCTATAATTGGTGAAATGACGATGATTTTGTTCGTTTGGGTTGAAAGGTCGTAGACAATGTCGTAGTCGTACTCGTAAGGGTGAGGGTTAGTGCGAGAGACGTAAACAGTCGTACTTCCAGATAAATCGACTACATTGATCTCGAGATTTGAAGATGGCTTCACTTTGTAACTGAAATACTGATAAGCATCCTCTGCTACATTTGTTATTATTGTCTCGTTAAGAGGCGCAGGGCGGGGTTCATAGCATGTTGACGCCGTTAGTGTGGAAATAAATATCTCGAGTTGGGTAAAAGTAGACAGCGTGTAAACGTGTGACTCAGAAGAAGCAATGTCTTTAAGTTGTTCAAGATTATACCCGCCGACTCCAATCGCATAAACAACTATGTTTTCATCGCTCACATTCTTTGCTGGAATTGAAACACTGTCGGTCGCTTTGCCGTCCGTTAAAACAATCAAAATACGAGGTACTCCATCTACCTCTGGACGCAGGCCTCGTTCTTCTGTGAATTGATCGGTTAAGATTTCTCCTAGAGCTCGACCAAGACGGGTACTACCTCCACTGGCGAAGGAAACGCGACCAATTGCGGAAAGGTAGTCTGACTGCTTTGTATAGTTTGATAAATAGAAATGTGATCTGTAGCTGGAACTGAATGTGGACAAACCGAATCTGGTTCCATTTTTTCCGCTGAGTTTATCATCTGGAAATGCTTTTGTCATGTTCTTTACAAAATTAAGGCTGTCACTAAAGTCTCGGAGTTTAAGACTGCCAGATTCATCTAGCAAGAAAACAACATCAACAGAGCGGTTGCATTTCAAAAGAGTCGCTTCAATTATGTCCGCTTCGTCGTTTCGTCTTTTCAAATCTCCTCTAGCCTGCTCTTTCGGTTTCTCATAAAAAATTCTCAATTCTTTTATCGCATTGTCCCAATCATTTTTCGTCACAAATCCCCAGAACTTTGGATAAGCAGAAGGATAATTAAACTGATACCAAACGCTGACGATGGCTGTACGAATACCGCGAGGAATTGATGCAAATTCCAGCGCATTCTCATCTTTATCGCTGTCGTATCTTTTTGAAACTTCATTTATTACATCGTTTGTAGCAGCATCTGTCAAATTGTTTGCCTCCGTTAGTGTTAGGTTCAAAGGACGTTCAATCACAGCACAAGCAGCGAGATTTCGTGTCAAACCAAAGTAAGGGTCAAGTTTGTTAACCAATGTGCTTGACAATGACGTGAAAGACGCCCTCGACTTGTTTCCAAGATCAACACCACGACCAATCGTAACGCCACTTTGTCCAGGGACTTCACCAGATTTTGGATCGATCGGGACGTATCCACACAGAGTAAAACCTTCATGACAGTTCAGAAACTGCTGGTCAATCATTGGCGCCGATGTTTCGCTGCCTCTTGGTATTCCAGACTTCCAAGAGGCTGGGCAGTCCAGCTGTTCAACTTTGCAATCGATTGGAACTCGAAGTTTACCAATGTAATCTGATGGATTGTAATCACCTCTGCAGTTGTATGGCTCTGCATAAATCATGCCAAGCACAAATACATGAAGAATTAAAAACCTCACAAGCATTTTAACTAAAATCGTACCTCGAATCGTACCGACTAAGGTGTGTAAACAGCAAACACTTTGGTGTGAAATAAAAGGCTTGGCAAATAGCACAGTTTATATCATAATACGACCAACGACTAAAAATAAATTGGACTGACCAATGAGAACAAGTGAAAATTGAATAGACACTGTGTGAGCAATTCCTAGTATTCAGAAAGAGAAAGTAAACATACACAACGATTATCTTTAAATGTACTCTATATGTTTACCGTAGCTATATAGTAGATCATCATTGTTATGGTATAACATTCAATGGATTTTAACGTCATACAGTATATAGTAGACGATGTATATAGGTACAGGGGTATTATAAATCTCAGAAGTGTACGAAATTTCAAAACATGTTTTGTAATTGTCTCCTGCAGAGCTTAAAGTTTGTGATGTTTCGTACAAAGAATACAGGATGCTTTGGTGAAACCATGCACGCAGACTTGAATGAAATTAAAAAAGCAAAAAGGCGACACAGCTGCGTTAGAAAAAATTATTAAAATTGGTTAATTTTCTCTTCAAAGAAATTTCGAATTTGTAATTTCATTGATAAAATACATTGCTGAATTCAACTTACTGAACGTTTACAGCTTGTTCGAAACTATTTACGCAACTAGCCCGAATGATTTGGGGGCCTGATTGTATTCCGACATTTTCAGCGAAAGATTTTCGGCGAAGAGCTTTAATAGATGGCGAAAGACTTCATGCACAGACGATATCCGAATGGCGAATACACGAAAGGGTCCAACATGGACCTATTTGAAACTATTTCTTTTTATATATGTAGTAAAGTGATTTTAACGGCACTGTGGTTTCTTTGTGACATGGCGATTTATGTCAGTAACACTTGTACGATTTGGCGGGTTTTCTAAAGTAAAGGTATAATTCTACTGACGTGAATACATTCAGGCATGCGGGTTTTCTGGAATCCGAAATTCAGTATATTTACAAGTCTAACAGTAACATGTATATGATTGTATCAGGAAGTATTGCAAAATTTAAACATTGCAAATAATTGGGAAGTCTAAACGGTGTGACACGTGGACACATGCTGTTAAACTATCAAACTAATTAAGTGTTTGGACTTTCAAAATTATTCTCGAGATAAATTTCTGCTGTGATGCTTTGTCCTATAGTATAGTTTCAAAATTTGGCTTAATTTTGGTTCATGATATTAAGCTTATAACTCTCATTATTTTCATAATAAACTTTCACAATAATATAAGACGTCGCCAACACAAAATCATATTCTTGACTGTTTTCACATGTAACTTTTTAGTAATCTGCGCACAAAACATTTTGTTCAGAATTCAAGCTTGGCATTCCCGACACTACTTGCGGCAATTAGCCAGGGATCCTTTGCAGCCTTATATTAAACTGAGCAAACCGAGATTTTTTCCCAATATACTTCTTCTGCAGAGGCTTGTATAGTCTTTATGTGGTGCATTCCCAATTATGTGAGCATTTCCTAGTATTCCGAGAAAGTGAAAATGAAACATAAACAACTGTCTATTACCTATTTGACAAATAGATAGCATTTTGTCTTTATCTGTTCAGTTATAGATACACAGTATGATGTTTGTGATGTTACCGTGAGTGTATATCCAAACCGGGCGATATACACTCAGAGTATATACACTCAGAGTAACATCACAAACATCATATTCACCTGAGTACACAACACCAACACAGAAAAAATGATACACAGTATATCACGCAGGCATGATCTATACAAACACATTCAAACCTTAATTGAATTAGCTGCATATCTCCCAGAGTTTATCCCTCTATGGGCAATTAATAATATATTATCGTACAATTAGACACATTCCACAATTCTCTTTTACAATATGGTTACTATTTTCGTAGTGCATGGTTTCTAAAGTAGATGGATTGTGCCCAAAATACCAATACTACGCCCCTCTCATCAAGCATAGCCTATTTTTTATGTTTAGAACACACCTACAAGCAATGGTTTATAAAATTGATTGTATTCCTACACCTACTGTATTTATGAACTCTGCTGTTTACTTTAGGTCGAGCTGTCAACGCACACTGGTTTCATGGGAGGTTTAGACAAGAACCAATCAACTGGCACTACGGCTGTTTATTACGCAAATTCGACTGTTGAAGTTATGTTTCATGTGGCAACAAGAATGCCTGTGTCTTCTGATGAAGGCGGGTTTATTAAGAAGGTGCGTGCAGGCAAGAATAGTCTGTCAAGATATGATGGTCTAGAATCCCTGCAAATTTCACAAAGGCACAAAATAGAAGACTTTTGTTTGATGTTGAACTGTACCCTTACCGTGCACAAATCCTTTATCTCCACTTCATTAAACATTATTCATCGTCGTTGCACATTGGACCAATACAATGAGGTCAATCACCGTGACCGTCCATAAATTAACATAAACTCAGACAAAAACATAACACACTGACTTCTGTTCAGTTTCCAATTCGCCTTAATAAAAAAGATGGCGGCTGTCGATCTACCCACAATGCATTGCAGTCGGAAATGATTTAAAACAACAGTTAAACGTTTTTTAAATAACACACAAAAGACAAGACGTCAGTTATTCCTATCTGTTAAAGTTTCATGTCCTTGTCTGTTTTTCTTGTCACTCTTTTTTTGCTGATTTATGCTTGCTGCACGCAAAGGATTGTAGGTAGATCGACATGCCGACATCTTTTTTATTATGGCGAATTCCAGACCATCATATCTCGATAGAAAATGATGCAAGAAATTTGTTTTCTATCTTGATTAAGGACGGATTTTCATTTTCAAGAAGGAGTGGAAACATTTCTCGTAGGGTGCAAGCGGCACCACTGAGCGAGCTTCAAGGACATTGGCAATAAAAAAATTAGTTTAGTTTATTTGAAAGAACTCTTAGAACTATATATTAAATTCTATTACAGATTGTTTATATCTTGCTTAGTTTTCAAAATATTTCGACTGAAAAAAGTGAGCTGTTCGCCATCTTGGATTATTGAGGATATGCATATTACGTCAAGAGAGGGGTCACGCTAATTTTTTATCTTGAGAGTAAGCGATCAATATGGGTCCAAAACTTCGTTTCTGGTTGCTGTCAGAAATTTAGAAATGATTAAAAACAATTCAAACAATTTTCGATTGTTATTCGGTCATTTTCGAGTAGTTTTATATGGTTAACCCAACTCCTGACGTCATCAAAACCATAGTTAATGAGGTAAAGAATTTTTCCAAGATGGCGGAATGCTCATTAATTTCGGTCGAAATATTTCGAGAACTAAGCAAGATATGACAAATCGGTAATAGAGTTTAATATATAATTTCAAGAGTTCTTTTGAATGAGACATACTAATTTTGTATTGCCAATGTCCTTTCAGCGGAGTTGCGCGTTAGGGTTAATAACAAAATAGTAGGGGTGAAGCGAAATTTTGAGTGGGTTGAACACTTTATAAGAGGGGTTAGCGAGATTCTAGGGGTGTTGGTTAACCCTCCTAACCCCCCCCCCAGTAAATCCGCCCATGACCTTGATTACTTGTACCAATGGTAAACTGTTGAAAAGGCGGTTATTTAGTTTGAGAAAAAAATGAGGCACATTGGTTTGTTCGTGTGCCTCACTGTGTGATCTCGAAACTAGAACTGGATGGAGAATCCGCTATCATGCACGCAGTGTATAAATGCAGCCAATGGCGGCCATATTTCTGTGACCATCGCAAGTTAGAAGAGATTCATATACTTTGTTTGCAGTGACATAATTTTGGGATTTCATTTGACGGGCAGGTATAACAAAAAACGGCTATTCTGATGTATTGATCGCGTTTACAGACAGTTTAAGGCTCAAAAGATGAATTACCGTTCAGCCTTCCTGCTACAACCATTCTGATAGGAGAAGAATCGTCCACAAGTTGTTTGATTGCCCGTCATTTGGATGAAAAGTGACGTGATTGCAAACAATTTTGATAGCACTAGGCGGATAAAATTTAAATTCATTTTGATTTTGTTTTGATTTTCAGTTTTGTTTTCATTTTGATTTTCATTTACTTTAAATTGTTTTTAAATTTAATTTTGTTTTGAAAAAATATTGCATTTTTAAATGACATTACATTATATTTTGTTTCAAATATTAACAAGAAAATGAATGGTAGCGATCGGCCACCATAGTATGGTGTGTCATCAGCGGCCGGGTTCGATTCCTGCAATATGCAGTTGTCAATATTAGAGATTTTTCTCCGGGTACATCGCGGTTTTCTCCTGGATTAAAACCCCGGTCAACCGAGGATTGACGAGAGTTGAATGAGTGTTCCAACTCTGAGATGAGATGAGAGACTTTATTTACCGAGGATAACACCTAACAGTATTACAAATGTACTGATAAACTCGCTCGCTTAAAGTTTGTAATGTTTCGTACAAAGAATACAGGCTGCTTTGGTGAAACCATGCAGACTTGAAAGCATGCCGAATTATGAAATTAAAAAGCAAAAAGTCGAGAAGGGCCATTCAATCTGTAATAGGCGTACCCTGCGAGCAAAGTCCTCTCATATTTCTTCTCGGCATGGCACGGAGACTTTGGTTAATGAGAGACTTTATTTACCGAGTGTAACACCTGACATTGTTACAAATGTACTGATAAACTCGCTCGCATTTGACCAGGGCTTCTCGACTCTCTTGCACTCTCATAAACCCTCGTCAACTTTGAGCTGATTCAAATTTGAATTGCAACTGAAGGACTTTGAGGGCAATTCCGTACTGCAGAAATTGCTCCCCAGAATAATTAGCTGTGTAAAAATCTGGAATAACAGTTCAGAATGTGCTGCCAATCGGAGTTTCCACTGCGCATCCAAATGACGCGTTCTGCGCGGGGCTAAATTGCAGTAGAACTATATAACATGTAGCTGAGACTGAAAGAATTAGAACATGCATATCAAAATATTCAATCATCATTTGAATACTGTTCAATCATCATTTAAATACGCAAAAAGTTGCTTAAAGGACAATTAGTTTCCGCACGGTAGGCTCGCTTTAAATGAGAAAATATATTCCCCTTCTAGAGACAATTCCAACTTTTAATTTATGCGCGCAGGGGGTGACGGGAAGTAAGGGATCATATTGCACATTGCTGATTATGCTAAAAATTTTCAACAAAAACTACCGAAACAACCGACGTATTTCAATACTTCAATAATAAGTATAAGCTATCACTCCATGTTTACACTGCCACCATTTTAATTTTTTCAGCAATATGATACCTTACTTTCCATCCCCCCCCCCCACCCCTGCACGCATAAACTAAAAGCTGGAATTGCCTATTGTGTACCTTCTTTATTTTGCTTTACTCAGAAGACAAAATATGCTGGTACAAAAATTATTATTAAAATGGACGGTGATGATGATTGAACAGTTGAATGCTTTGATATGCATATTCCGATTCTTCCGGCCTCAACTGCATTATAGAAATTATCCTATTGTTGTTAAGCTCAGGATTTCATGCGCCTGGTATAAAAAAAAATCAATTCAATTGTGTTTACGCACTCACTTGTGTTCAGAATAGTGCTCAGCCATTCAAGTTATAACAATAGGATATTTCTATAGTGTCACTTTCTTTTTTGGACACCCTGCAGTTCAACTGCAATTTGTACCCTGCGCAGAACGTGTTATTTGGATGCGCAGTCGAAATTGCTTATACAGCTATTATTATTTTTTTCGGGGGACACTCATATCATGTTCTAATTTCTAAGCAATCTTAATTTCCGGAAAGTATTCATGTTTTTTTCTTGAAGCACAAACTTTCCTGAACATTGTCTTAATGGTATTATATTTTCTGCAGGTTCGTCATCTTGGCAATGATGAAATTTGGATAGTGTGGTCAGAACACTCGCGAGATTTTCGTCATGGTATAGTGAATGCTGAGTTTGGCGATGTCGTGATTGTCATCTATCCCTTACAGAATCATCTTTTCAGAATACAGATGTTGAAAAAAGGAGATGTGAGTTCCATCATCTTTTTCATTCTTTTCATTCCCTTCGATGAGACTAAGGAATGTTGGAGTCGATTGTAGTGTTGTGTATGAAATTGTACTCCTTGTTCTAACTCGTAGTTTCAGTATTAAATGAATACCCTTAAAAGCACTTCATTTAAGGTAATTCCGCAGTAATTGTTCCCGAAATGAGGATGTGCTGAAACTTCCCAGGCATGGAGTTTATGATATACTTAAAGTAAAATCACACAAAAAAGTCGAGGTCACCGAACTCGTTAAGAAGATATGACAAACACAATATACCACCTTTATCCCAATATGGCGCCATCTTGACGCTCATTACGAGTAACAGCAAACTCACAACAGCCCGATATTTATTGACGTTTTTAGCGCGGATTTTGCTTTAGTAAACCTATCTTGTAATTATTTTTGAGAAAATATTGTGTTTTGAGCAAAATGAAACTGCTAACATGTACAATTCTGAGCCACAAATGTCTTTTGCATATTTCTTTACATATCTTTCTTTGAGAACATGCATTGATAAAGCATTTTTTTTTTCAAGATCCAGAAATGATTTTTCTTTTAATTTCGGATATGAAATGTAAAATGCATTAAAGAAATAAATTATTAGTTAAAAAATGGGGGTCACCGATCTTTTTAGGGAATTGTGGCATTAAAACGTGAAATACAAGTAAATAAATATACTACAGACACAGGGAACCCTAGCTACACTTTTGTATGCCTTTTTTGAAAACATCGATTTTAACGTAATTATTTGCACGAATGTAACCAAAGATGTTTTGAAGTAACATAAAATTGTCATAAAATGATATTTTGTTTTAAACGGTACGTATAATGGATGAAATTATAAGTTATAAGATGTGCGCAGTAAAAGTGCGCAATGCAAAACTGCGGAATTACCTTAAAGACTAAATGTTTATACCTTGCTTGTACCAGCCCAAGTACACGGCAATAACCGTAGGAGTACCAGTCAGGTACAACTAAAAATCTTGAATTATCGCACCCTGTTACCTCTCTGTGTAATAATTCCCTCTTTTCTCTTTTTCAGATCCCTTATTTCGGTCCTTTGTTTGACGGAGCAATCGTAGATCGTCGTGTCCTCCCGCCGTTGGTTCGGATGACGGCTGTGAATGCAAGTCGTGCTAAGCGATCCCTGATCCCTGGCATGCAGACTTAGTATCCTTTAGTGTATATTATGTTGTCCTGTAACTCGTAAAAGTTCTGTTTTTACTATGAGCATAAAATAAACTTCACCTCTGGGAAGTTTCAGCAAATTCTCATTTCCAGAACAATTACTGATGAATCACCTTAAAACCTTCGATGTCGTTTGGGTATTCTATGCGAATTCACTGACTATTGCTATTTAGGGGTTATTTGTGAAGAAAGATTAGTCCTTTTCAGAGGGAAATAGAGTTTAGTAATGTAAGCTTTGACTCGTATACAAAAGTGTAAGTCATTTTGTTTTCTGCCTTTGCCGTTTTCGGTTGCTAAAATCACTATTATCACCACATTCCTTAACATTTCCCCAGCTACGAAGAACGAGCCAGCTGTATCAGTAACATAGTCACCCACCACAAAGAAACGACGGTGTTTGAAGATTTCACAGGACAAGTCTTCTGTCCAGTTCCTAGAAAGACTGAAGAGAACAACCAAGTATTTTCAATCTCTAGTCATCTTAGACAACAGGCCTCCGGTGGGGAGTCTCCTGCTGCAAAACGCGAAGGATACAGTACCTTGCCTTCTTCCAAAACTATAGCTAAGACTATTGCAGGTAAATGTATAACTTTGGGGACTTATTGAGCATTTATGTCTACTGCCGGGGTTTTTTTGGAAGATGATTGAGTTTTAGTAGAAAAGCACTCCCCCACTTCCATCAAAACCCTTCACTTCCTCATAAAATTATTGATTTTGCCTTGTTGACCCCTCATTTCTCGCATTATGTTTCCCTTCGACCTCGCCCTTCAACGTTGACTGTAATCATGGCTTGGCCAGCCAATAGAGAGGTTGGTAGGAGGGCACTTTGCCCCAGGAGGGAGGGGCTACAACGTTAAAATAATTTTGGTGGGGATTATAGTGTTTCTTCAAAGCTTGTCTCACAATGCGAGAAATGTTGTTCTAGGGCTCTAGAAAATCAAAATTTCCGCTTGTGTTCGGAATTTACGTACGATCTTTCTCAACGGCCAGTTTATAATAGTTTATACCACATATCAGTCCTAAGTATTCTCTAGTTTTAATCACTTCGCGTATCTTCAGTTATAAAATGTTGTATTTTGGCTGATGAGAAAGATCGTAACTCAATCTTTACGACCGTTAATGTTTATCAAACCCGTGATAAGAGCTTTATCTCGTTATTAAACGAATCACCCTGGTTAACTGGGCCAGTCCGGCTCCACATGCACAGCTCCTAGGGTTCCAGTGTAAAAATAATCCATGATGGAGCCGTACAGTCAATTTATTCTAGATGATAAATTAATCTTTCGTTATCCATACTATTCTGTTCTTCATATACAGTTGAAAAAGAGTTGGCAATATCAGGGACATTGTCATTACCTGAAGGACTTCACAAAGTCGTGCAAAGTGATAGTACTTTCTCCGCTCCAAAGTTGGGAGGAAAGAAAATGTCTTTCAGAAGAAAACTCACTCCTTCAACCACCAAGGAAGAAAATGCTGAATAAAAACATCGGTATATTTGTAAATTATTGTATATGAATGAATTTAGGACGAAATTATTATCTTTGAATAGTTAGATGATAGTAATACAATTGTAAACAAGCATATATAAGTTCAGCTTCTAACACTATCTGAATTTGTGTTGGTCAAGTGGAGTCGAAAACTGATTATTGTGGGTGTAACCTGGAGTGAATACTATCGAGGCCCTCATAGGGTTTTAGGACTATGGATTATTTGGGAGCTTATTTAGAGAATGGATACGGATTATTTATGCTTAAATAACAGGATTATTGATTATTGAAACCGGATTTTAGGATTTAGGATTGTTGACCTATTTTATGGGGTATCTTTGTTTAGAGAAAAAAGATACGGATTATATTATTCATATGAACCGTAGAAAATGGAAAGAGCACCTCAATATTAGTAAATTGCAAAGTTTCAAACGGCATATTCATACAAAATACATTGAATTTAAGACTGAAAATCCTAGTTTGCTCGACATATTGTAACGTTTTCCCTAGAAATTTCCATATAAGGTATTAAAATTAATATTAATTTTGAGCATCTCGCACGATAGAACAAAGTTTTTAAAGACTTTTCACAAATCTGTAAATTATAAATTCATTTTCCGATCAAATTAACACAGTTTACATTGTCAGTGTTCGAAAACAATCATGCTATATATTAAAATTATCCAATGTTAGAAGTCGTTGGATGCTATGATCGTAATATGGTTTTGAGATTTGAAATTTTGAGTTCGCTTTGAACGTCTATCACAACACAATGTTTCCTTCAATCGTGTCTGCACTGGGAAGAAAAAATATAATCCGAAATCGAAGCGTTCGGAAATCAGAAAAGCTAGAATATTTGAGAGAAACGTCGCCAGATATTTTTGAAGAATGTTTTGAAGATCTTGAGGATTATATTAAGACGAAACTTGATATTGACACATCGTTGCCCTTGCTAACAGCATTTGCTGTTTGGTCACTCAGTAAGTACATGCTAATACGTTATGTACACATGTGTGTTATATTATGGCAGTGTACTTTGTCAAGCTGTACTCCGAGTCTCTATATTGTAGATAAACAGTTCAATTGCTTACCTATATATACATATTTATACCCAGGGACTGCGGAGCCATTTTTTTATTTGGGGGGCTAGCGAACGCCGAAGGCGTGAGCCTTCTGGGGGGGAGGTCTGGGGGCATGCTCCCCCGGGAAATTTTGAAATCTGAGACCTCTCAGAGCCCCGGAAATGCAATAAAACTTGCTAGTTTCTCCTGAAAAGTTTCTAGAATGACTCTTAAGAAAGCCATTATTAAGGGTAAAATTTATTTGCTTAGTACATTTTCCTGGAATAGATTTTTTTCTTCAAAATTTAATGCCTTATTTAAGCGTAATTTAAATCGCATTTTCCACACTTATCGTCCCTATCTTTCTTAGAAATGTTTTTTCTGGAAAGTGCGAGCTTACTGATACATAACAAGAAAATAATAAATGGAAACAAACACCTGTCAGTGTACTAATGAAGACTGAACTAATCTGCATAATTATGTGCAAGGAATAACTTAACGTATTTTAAAAAGATGATAGTCAAGTCTTTTTTTATCTTTTATCCTGAGTTTCATGAAATACAACATAATTTTCGCAGGCATACATTGTGCCAACAACACGTGGCCATCACACTATCATATTTCACACTATTTTGATCTAACATTTAGCAATAGCTATTGACTTGTGGCATAAAATTATTACTAGGACACCAATATGGTTCTCATTACCTATATCTAAACTTAAAAAACGAGTGTTCAATAACCTGCATTCTTTTCGTGAGAACTTTGTTTGGAGGTAATTCAGGTTCGAAAGGCAAAGAATAATCAACCATAAGCAAACAGTAAGTTAGAACGACGCTTAGCAGTTTTAACGCCAATATTTTGTTTGGAACCAAATCGAAACGCGTCTATTCACTGTGTCTGAAGTGATAAGGGGCCATTCACAAAGGATGTCCGAGCCGAGGGGGGAGGGGGGTTTGGAAAATCAGGACAAACTCGGACATAGGGGGGAGGGGGGGGGGGGTTTAGCAATCCGGATGTCCGAAATTTAAAAAAATTAAAAAACAAATTTTTTTTTCCCTCTATTTTGAGCAGTCCTTCCCATTGTGAAATTGGCATTTTGACTATGCGGTTAACACTAGATTTTGTTTTAATTAGTAATTTATATGTTTTTGTGTTCACATTTACAGTTATAAAAAAGTTCTAAAAGTAAGAAAAGTTTTTTACTCTTGATATATACAAGGTTGCGTGAGTTTTTGCGAGGCATGGCGGATGTCCGGGGGGAGGGGGGGTTCACTAATTCGGACAATGCCGGACAAGGGGGGGAGGGGGGGTCTGAAAATCCATCATTTGGCCGGACATCCTTTGTGAATGGCCCCTAAGGAATTTCAACCGTTATTTGAAACCGAGTGTGACACCTTGGATAATGCTATATAGGCTCCGAATTCTGTTAAATAAAATGGTCAAATTGTTTGTATTATACTAAAAGCTATATGTTTCGCTTCATGGTAGGAAATATCCTCTATAATTTTGAAACACGCAAATCAGACATTTAATATTTTTCTAGACAACGGAAAGAAAAGTGCTATCTGCGCTATATTAAAATCAGATATGTATGAGAAATTATTGGAGGGGGGGCTAAAGCCCCCAGCCCCCCCCCCTGCTCCGCGGTCCCTGATACCGCGCTCTCTAGATTTCAAGCGGAGTTTTGTACCACAGAATAAAGATCAGTAACAGAAAGGCCACTCAGCGGTGCAACGCGTCGTCGTTTTTTTATGCAAAAATATGCAGTTTACTGGCCAGAAGGCGGAGCAGCCAGCCAGTACAGCGTGTTTATTGTCCAGAAAATGTCATTGACTGGCTAGGAAAATGGCGGCCAACATGCGTAATGCGACATGCGCGAGGACAGAAACTTCAAAGCTTCCGACGTAAGTGGCCCTTCTGTGTGGATCTTGATTCTATGTTTTTTACTGACCAATCTATATATGCAATAGATCATTCATCCGGAGAGGAATGCGAGCTGGGGGGATGGCAACCGCCCCTCTGGCCTTATTAAGGGGGCAAAAGTGCGTTAACGCCCCCAATAAATTCTGAAAGCCTGTGAATGTTACCTACTAGTGAATAACTGCATGTGTAACAAAGCTGTAACAATAATTTTGCAACCACGAAGGCATTGTTGGGCTATAAATTAAGCTATATATTGAATGGTATTTAAGGCAAGAAAATTTAAAGAACTAAGATTCCAGCAACATGTTGGCAACATAATCCCCCCTCGAAGTATCCGGCATGTTATTTATTTGCATTGCTTAAATTTTGCAGTACAATAATTATTACAAAAATATTTTGAAAATTATTCCAAACTTTATGTACTATTTAAAACACGAGCAGCAGTGTTTTAACACATATAAAGATATGAGGCGAAGCCGAGTATCTTTAGGTCTGATAAAACACGCACTGCGAATGTTTTAAATTGTTTCAAAAACGATCGATCCAGTAACTTCATTGGCGAAGTAATTTTCAAAAAATACGTTGTGTAAGTCGAGAAAATCAAAGTTAAAGTTTATGTAAATCAACGGAAATCTCTATCACATATAAAGATAAGACACGCTTATGATTTTTCTTGTGTTTTCCTCATGAATTTTTGTAGCAAAGCTACATGTCAGACTTTAGGTGTTCCAAAGACAAAGTTCGAATTGACTTAAAACCTGCTTGTGCCCTTAGATTATTTTCAGACTAGCGACCTGTTCATATGAGTTAGGCTCGCCCAGTAAACCGGGTTTACTCACAAGTGGCGAAATCCCGCCTCGTATATTGTATTTATACGTTCTTTAGATTTGACTCACATGAGAGCCAGGCTAGCTCGGTTTGCTGGACTCCTTTTGAGCGAGACGAGATCTCGCCTTCCAGGCTCATATGAACGCGCTTAGCCAAGTTGTGTCACTGTGAATTTAAAACTTCGAAACACGTAAGGCATGAACAAAAGTAGGCTTCCGAAACAGTTTCCATCAAGAAAAACAGTTTGCATTATTCAAACCAGAAATGTATTGTCTTTTACCTATTTAGATGCACTTTTAACATAGCATGAGCAGTTGCCATGGCTGCCTTTACACTGAAATTGCCCGATTTGTAAGTAGAATCTGTTCAACCAAACAGCTGCAGCCCCCCCCCCCCCC